TTTTTATATTTCTGTATGCATTTCTGTCTGGTAAACACCGATGGACTCTCATGGACAAGAAACTGATGAACCTAATATTCCTAATATACCTTATCAATATATAATTAAAATTGTTGTAATAATAAAAATAACAATTGTTAGTAATAATTGCTGACAATGTGAAAGAGAATCTCTACAGAATTGTAAGTTGCTATCACCCTTTAAAAGCAAATATTCATATGATTCTTCCCAAATAATGTGAGCAACATTTGTATAGTTTTTGGAAGCGAAGGTAAAATTATTGAGTAAACACTGTTTGTGTCCAAATTGCCTCTTTTTGCTTCATTTTACAAAGATATGCTTCCCAAAACATTAAAAGAAAATATATCTTTGTGAGGAAATTACTTACGTAACAGCCAATGATAAAATAGAATTGGTTCAATTAAATCTAAAATGATTTGGAAAAAGAAAACAAAGACATACCTTCCTTGTATAATTTCAAAATTACAGATTTTGAATCACATTGGAAAACGAATGAAAAGCTGCGAAAAAAGGGCAATAAACCAACCAAAATAATTAGTTACCTATTCATTTTAACCTACATGTATATGCAGCTAAATGGGGGTCATAAAATTTGTTCAGAAGGAAAAAACTGAACCTGATTAATTATATTGCCCCCCCCAACAAAATTGAAACTGAATGAAAAGTTCTAAAAATAAAAGAAGAAACTGGAAAAAAAAATTAAAACTACTTTTTTAACTTTTTTTAACTTATTGGTTCATGCATAGATATAAAGACATGTTTTAGTTTCATTTTGTTCGTTTACTTGTTCGCATATTTCTTTAAATACAGTCACCTATTTGTTTATGTTCACCTTGTAGAAATCTTTACTCTTTATACCTCTCTTTAACTTTGCTGTTTAAAAACTTTTTTTGATTCTATTCTGTTTGTAAAACTGCTTGATTTTTAAAATCATTGATTTATGGTTGAAGCAATTCAGCTTTATCCCCGTTACCCTAACCGGTTTTAAATATAAAGTATTGGAAGTGGATCTAAAGTAAAAATAATTAAAAAAAAGACGTGAATCATGCATCCATTATGTGCAGTACATCTTATTACTTTTTCTTTCACGTTTTGAAATTTGATACATATAAAATAATCTATGATGTTAGTATTACAACCATAAGGTCGTAATATCATTAGAACCTGGTGCTGACCCGTACTTTATGCAGAGAGCTAAAACAAAAATCTCTATTTAAGTGCAACTGAGCAAAACAGGATATCGAAACCTTCATTCTCATCATTCATGTTAATGTTTATCTGGGATGATAAAATAAAACCTTAAGACTGTTTAGAAATGCAAATGTTCCAGTGATTAACTTTATCTAAAACACACAAGCTCAGTTGTGTTCTTGATTATTGGCAAACTGTCCAATAACTCAGTCGAAGTAAAAGGAACTTTTATAACAGATTAAAGATGAGAGACTAACTGTAGATCTCTGAGGATGGACCATAACTGGGGTTATTTGCTCTCTTTGCAGCCGACCAGGTGAAGAACGGCTTCCAGTGGCCACAGCCTGATCCGCCCGGGTTCTTCTATGTCACTCAAGGCCAAGAGGAGACTCCCAGCTCTGGAACATCCCATCTGAACAGGTCTGGAGGTGCTCACTTATGGAGATAAAGACCAAATACATATTTGAAGATGTTAGAATAACATGTTGTGTTTGCTTATGCTTCAACAAAATGACTCTTACTCTGTCTGTCAGGTGTTATCAATGTATAGAGATCATTTTTTATTTTTGTTTTCCTTGTTATTCAGTGATGCTACTAAAATCTGCTCTATCCTATTAACTCATCATATCTGTTTGAGAGGAATATCTTTCAGGGTTGTAATATTACTGACCTCCAGCAGAGTGCGCTGCTGTTCTTTCTTAAGCTGAACCTCACTGATAAACGCAAAGCCAGAGTGGCTGGATG